TGAGAAATTCATTTTCCGTCCTCGTGGAATCGAACCTGCAAACTAACAGATAAAGAAGAGAAGTGTGTCAGAAAAGCACAGAAGTGCTGGGAATGAGAGAAACAAACAGGCTTTTTCAGTAAGATTTATTTTTTTAAACCATTTTTTGTTACCTGAAACAAAATGTAATTCCCCTACGAGATAAGCACTCTGGATACCATTATTCGAAGTAATCTGACAATACGTCCTGCCATAGGAAGATATAAAATCAAGGTTAATCACCACTTTCCCGTTTCTCACTACTCCACAGTTCAAAGTCGCTTGCGGAGACAGCTGAATAAAGATGAGTCTATGAAATGTGCTTGGTCGCTGCCCGCTTAGCCGGACGTCTGAAAAAAGGGAATATTTACACGCGTTTTATGACAAAAAGACACCATTCCTAAAAAAATGGCAGTTAGTGGAGATGACAGCTTGAGGACTCTGCGGTCCATTTCACTGCTGCATAATAGCAATTGTTAATAGTATAATTTTATATATTAATATAATTAACAAATAAATAACATAGAAAATATTTAATTTTAATATTAAAAATGTTTCATTCCGAGATATATTAAATTGAAACTACGTGTTTACAGTATTAATTTGCTAGATATTGTAGTACGGTGAAACAGGGCCCATACCCAAGTTCTGCCCGCGGCCTCGTAGAACATAAATGAGGCTCTGACCTGTAGATACCAATACCACAGAGTAAACTAGTGTTGCTAAAACTAGCACGTACTTACTCCCGGTATTTTAACGCAAAACTACGCCAAACTACGCCAAACGTACTCAATGTAATGCTGCGGAAAATCGATTTCGAGATATCAACGTAAATATACGTTTTGGGGTCCCCTAATGCAGAAAAGTTTTGTTTTCTTTCAAAACGTCCGCCCATCTTCCCCGTCTGTGAACACCACTAGCGCATAAACCATACGTACGATTTTTTCCAAAACGGATGTTCCCGGGTCGATCTAGCTGCGATTTGAAAAACTTTACTAAACATTTGGGGGTACTTCAAAATTTTCTGAAAAACAGCTCCAAATTTATTCTTTCAATTTCTTATAAGAATAGAGTAAAATTCATATATATACACACAATACATTTATAAAGGTGGCATAGGTCAGATTTTCACGGTGAACTCTGAATTTCGAAAACTGAAAAAGTGAATTTTTCTCGGCATCGTCCAACTACCACAAAATTGAAGATCGAGATTTTTTCTTCAAATGAAATTTGTTATCAATAATTATTTTTCATTAAGGTCGTGCACATTTTTAAAAAAATTTTCCTAGTTTTTGCGCAATACTACGTGCAATATTAAATTTTGCAATTTAAAAAAAAAATACAAAAACAAGATTTCTCAAAAATTGGTACAATTTTTTTCTTTAAAATGTTGATAGGTATAGTGCTAAATGCACTCTATAAAAATGACATAAACGCCATTTTGTTCCATTCTTTTGTTTTTTCACGAATTACAAAAATGTAATTTTTTACTTGTGCGCCAATTGTTTCACATTACTGTATTTATGATTATACGTGCGTTAATTAATGCCATATAAAGTTTCTCGAAAACTGAACAGTTATATGTTAAAATGGACTCAAACTTCAGTATTTTCAGACACGCTTAAACGCCATTTTCTTAAAAATGGCTCCAAACTTTTCTTCAAACATTCCCAAAAGGTAGTGCTAATTGCATTGTTGAAAAATATATAAAGTTAATTTTGTTTTTTCCAAAAATTACACAAATGTATTTTTTAAATATATCTCACGCCGTTAAAATGCACATTTCCAGCGATTTGTAAACCCTATTGCATTTGTGAGTTAATAGGCCGCAAACGACGTTAAAAGAAGTTTTCAAAACTACCGTGAAAAAACGCTTGATATTTCGCATTTACAGTAACGCCTAAACGCCATTTTCATAAAACCGTTACAAATTTTTCAATGAAAATTGTCGTTTCTGACGAGGTTTTATTTTTCTTTAATATTTTAGAAGTATTATTTCGGTTCTAGAAAATCGAAAAATTAGAAAATATAAAATGTGTATTTTGGGCGGCGATAGATGGCAGCTGGCAAGAGGATGGGGCAAGACCGTAAATCCAGTCCATACCAAGGAAATTAGAAAACTTTACTATGAGAAAGTCTGTGACATTTCTAACACTACTAGTTTTTCTATGCGGTCAGCTTTAATTCACGCATTCCACTGAAACAATCTCGCTACGTATACAAGAGCTGCGATGCCAACCAATGGTCTCCAGCAGCGTCCATTTGTGGTCTGTGTTCACAGAATTTTGGTTCACAGAAAAATCTGGACATAATTATAATGTTTATGATTAATTATTTCCCGCTCAATTCCGCTTTACATTCGGGCTCGAATCCCACATAAGATCCTGACGTGTGTTGCGTCATGGTGTGCATTCCTACCACATATTTACTAATGTATTTATTTGTGCATTTATCATTTTATTTGAACACGCAAGAGCCCCATCCTACTTTTATTCTGAACATTGCTCTCAAACCAAAGGAAGTGGAAATGTTCTTTGATATCGGCACCGACCATACATGGAGACCGTGCGTCTTTTGCCACACGCTATCCTGCGGCCATCGACCTTATAACTATTGTTTCATCCTACGATTCATCGGAGGATACATAATCATTAAGCACACATCTTGGAAGCGATAATGCGTCCTTTTTCTTTTGAGTGCTTGATAAACAGAATATAGTAGCTGGGGAACGCCTTCGGTGATATGTAAACTTTAACTGACAATGAAACCATATCACATGTTATGAAACAAGATATTATTTTGATTCTGTTATTTCAGATATATTTTATCCAAATGAATCAACAAGTAAGCGATCCGAGTATGACAAAGTCTAAATTACATCATTTATTCCGTAGTATTTAAAAGATGTATTCACATTTGTACAAAATAAAATAAATGCTTTATTAGATATTCAGTTTTTTATAAATCTTCTCAAAGCAGAGTATTATCATGAATATAGATAGTACTTCTATTGGATACTTTTAACCATTTCTGTAAAACTATGACTTTTGAGATTGGAAATATTAGACATACGAATTATAAATTATATTCGGCAAATTATTCATTCCTATAATACTGAAGAGACTGAACTAACGAAAACCCATACAATACACGCTTTTTGATTTCATAACTTCGACAAATATTCATGGAAAGTTCTGTTATATTTTTGGTTTTGGAAACACTGCAATAAATGAAGATCTCGAATCTAGTAAAAAATTAATTTACATTATTAATATTTATGCTGCTCGAAAAGCAAAGCACTGCTCGAAAAGCAAAGCACTGCTCGAAAAGCAAAGCACTGCTCGAAAAGCAAAGCACTGCTAGAAAACTGCTGCTTTGTAGAATGACTGGTCAGATAGGCGTGGTCGTGTTGCATTGTAACTTTTTGTGAGCTTTAAAACTAAGTATCTACGAAATTGTGTATTCATGAGAAGCTTAAAGCCGAATTCCACATGAAAACATGTTACAGAAATTGAGAGCAAAGCTTAAGTACACTGTTATGCATTCACAAATACTATCAAATGGCTGATTGGAAGCATAAACACATAGGAGATCGTGTCATAAGATTATGACTGGTCTAAAACGCGGAAACAAAAAAGTGCGAAAGTTTGCAAGTATCGACTTAGCGGCGTAACTTTATATCTGGACGATTGCACAGAGACAACAAATCTATAGGTAACCGAGAAATTTGGATGTAGTGGTTAATGAAAAAGGATAAAAATGGAACATCAGTCCAATGCACAAATCGTATTTACACATAAAATAGAAGACTGTTGAACGAATCTGAAGGATCTAGTAGGTGAATATGATTCCCTATATCAAATACTATCGTGGTTGGAATCTTGAGATTAGTATGCATAACTTCAGATCATCTTCGCAACAACCTTGCACAATCGTCCGCACATTTAGCAAGAACAGTAGAGCCCTAAGGACTTAGTTTGGGTGGTTGTGTAACGATTTCCGGTATTGTCGTAGTATTCGTAAGTAAATTTCTATCCCTGTGAGTACTAGGTGTTTCTCTCTCCACTGGACTGATCTCTAAAAAATTTAACTTTGGTTTGGATCTTATGGTTCCGTTATTCAGAACAACCTGAAGTCAAGCTTTGAAATTTATATATTGCGAGGGTGGTGTAACCCCAGGAACAAATAAATTTGACCTGACATTCAAAATAAGAACCTTAAATAACTTTATATTTTACTCTCCCTTCATCCTTACATTTCTTCACATAACAATTAACACAGATTAGGCATACGTAAAATTTCTCTTCGCTAAAAAAATTTCTCACAATTACTAACATAAAAAATTCGCACTACAAACGAAATATAGTATGTCGTAACATTTCGATTTAAGTAAAACAAAACAAACAAAAGACATGAAATATGTAAACTTAAAAGCTGCCACATTCGGCTTCTCGTTAGCTCTCTCTCAAACAATTTCGAAACTATGACATATACTCTCCATTTAAGAAATTAGCGAGCCCAAGCAACGAAAGGCGCAGTCGACGGTGGTAGCATCGGGTGGTCAGGACGAGCGCGATGGCTCTGCCAGGGGCGGGGGCGCTGGTGAATTTGAGAGTGGGCGCGAAGGCAGGCCTCGCCATCGCCGCGCCGCGCGGCCTCCCAGCCGCCGGTGATGAATTTTAACCAACTGGCTGGGCTCTCGCGCCGCCTGCGAGCCACCCATACATATATACATACATATAAACATACGCATGGGCGCGGGGCGGTGCTGGGCGGGGGCAAGGGGCTAGTCTGGCGGACCGGCCGGCCGGCCTAGCCAGGCGTCGGCCGCCGGGCGAGAAGGCAGTTTCCGCTTCCGCCAGGAAGAGAACGGCCGCGCCGGCGAGGGTGGAGGCGGGGGCATGCTGAGCGTGGCGTTGGCGGGGCGGGGGAGTGGGTAAGGAGCGGCAAAGGGCGGGCCGAGCCGGCGGCGCAGATTACAGTCACCCCAAACGGCGCGGACGACGCCGGGTCCTGCACGCCGTGGCGCGGCGGTGAGGGTCTCCTGCTGAGGAGGCTGTGTGCTCCCGCGGGCCGTATAACCATCTCGTCGACGTCGTCATCGCCATCGTCTTTTCTTTCGTCTCTTGCCTTCCTCCATCCCTACTCCTCCATGTATCTTCCTCCTTCGCCTCTGTCTCCATTACGAAGAAATCGGGCCCCACATCTTCTTCATATCCTGTTCCTTCTCTCCTCTCTTCTCTTCTCTTTTTCTCCTTCTCTCCTCTCTTCTCTTTCTCTCCTTCTCTCCTCTCCTCTCTTCTCTTCTCTTTCTCTCCTTCTCTCCTCTCTTCTCTTCTCTTTTTCTCCTTCTCTCCTCTCTTCTCTTCTCTTCTCTTTTTCTCCTTCTCTCCTCTCTTCTCTTTTCCTCCCGTTTAATTTAACACCCTCTTCCTTCTCTTTTCAGCTGTAGCCAAGCCATAGAGAAATACCTATTTTCCCTTCCCACAGCCTTGGCTGTATCTGATGCTACCTCCGACAGGCACGCGGACAGCTACAGGGCTCAGTGCAGGGACACAAATGTTATGGCGTGGGAGAAACCCTGCGCGTTGTCGATGGTACCACAAGAGGGGAGAAGTGTCAATAGTGTGGTGGCCGTGCGATGTGGCGTGGTTGAAACATTTGATGGCCTTCTACCTCTGAAAACGTTGTATGAACCGCGGTTAAACGCGATGGATTTACGATTTAGGGTGGCAAGCTCGTTTCTCCGGGTTGCCCCAATTCACTTGTCTCTCAACTCTTGGCGATAAATGGATTAATTGCCAAAGGTGGGAAATAATTCGCAATAGAGATACTACCGTTATTTTATATTTAAGTGTATATTACTGCGGAAGATGTCTAAGAGTCATTGTGGTTAGTCTGCATGAAATTCTTTAGTATCTTTAAATATTCCTTTAGCATTGCGAGAGAGAGACTGCAAAGCATACTATTCAATTGTAAGTTTTTCACATTTTTTCACGTTCAATGTTCAAGTAGGTATGATAAGGAACTGGTATTAAATAAATTTATTATATTGAATACATTCTAAAATTCTGCTCAGTATTGTTCTCTTGAAATGTCTGTTCAGTCTTATATCTTGATCTTCGACCTGATCTGTTCTTGAGAGACGTCTGCATAGCCTGTTTTAATCACCATTATAACTGACTTTTCACAACTTCTATACAAGTGATTTCAAATTCGCACAGAAAAGGCAAGAAAACTACGCAGCCTCTTATCGTATGAGATGTGTCTATGGTTTTGTTAGGTAGACGGGAACTAGAGGAAATAAAAAAAAAACATTCGATACTGACTGAAAAATGCAAATATTTGATTGAGCAAATACACCTATTCTCACATTACCGGCACAATTCTCATACTTACGGTCTACTAACGACACAGCTGTCTTGTGGCAGCATGGCTCCCAAGAAAAGGCCGAGTGCCAATTACTTGCTATTAACTTGTTTCGTTAAGGAACAATATTTTTTCATATTTTTGATATAAAAAAACTGTCGTTCATAATATATACTATAAATGTTTTTTTCAGTATTTGTGAAGACTTTTTTTTGTTAAAATATTTAATTTGCGAATGTTAAACGAGAATATTTTATGTTGCTTTTGAGATTGAGCATGCAACGGTTTGGAATTTCATTTTGTGTGGTTTTGTTCAGCAGCAGTTTTGCTGCCGCAAGCCACTACTTATTTCCTATATTTACTGGATATTACTAGAAAATCCAGATTTCTCGCCTCATCGGTTATTGCCCTGGATGGACGCCCAAATCCAAACGGCTTCAGATATGAGAATGGAACCCGGACCCAGCGAGTCCAGAATATTCCACTGCTCGGGCAATACACCTTTCGAATGTTTCGAGCCGCCTAAACTCTTAAAGTAGATTTATATCGCTCCTGCTGATTTATGACGCTTCCTTCTCGGCCCACGTGACTCCCACTGACGCCTTGGCCGCTGACGACTTGGCCGCCGCCCTCACCGCCCTCGCCGCCCCCACCGCCGCCCCGGCCCGCCCCGCACACTCTCATATTCCAACGGCCGGTGCTATGTTTCACGCATTCCTCGTTTCCCGCGAAAAGAGTGGGGGGGGCGCTTTATGTGGGAACCACGCTCGCTCCTCTGTGGCCGTGCCAAACGGCGGCGTCGCGATCTATGTGGGATTTTGATGAGCGCTGATGCCATGGCTATCCGATAACCGGTAGCCATTATCGGGTTTCTGGAAAGCTGAGTTGCGAGGAAGATTTTGCCGATTCAAGCACACGTCGACACTAACTTAAGTTAAAATACAAAATATATACGTTATCAAATTAACAGTCTCTATTTATTCTTTTCTTCTATTCTATGTCATACGACTAATTGCTATATCCTTGATCACTATGTTTCTTAAACGTGTATTCAGTATCGCTTAATCCTAAATATGCACTGCTACACAAATTAAGCTGATTTAATGAAATGATAATGAAATGAAGCAATGATGGAATGAGACGCGGCAGAAACAGAGCATTTGGAGAAAATCTCCCGCATTGTTCACCATAAATTCCTCATGGAACATCCGTGAACTGAACGCTGGACCCAGGGCTGGATGTGCGCAGTTTCACCATTGTCGACACATCACGCGATACCCTTAATTAGTCTCATTCCTAACCACTAAAGAATAAGGATGTATATTAAGTCGTAGAATTTAATAAGGCATTTTTAATATGCATCCGTAGTATTTATTAGAAATATCCAAAATACAAGTAGGAGATAACATAAATGACCTTAATAACGCCCAGATCTCTCTCCATCGTGTGATTATTCTTTTCCAACAATTTCGGATTCTCATTACAGAATCTCTTTTATGAACTTTTCTAAAACATATGAGCGCAGCAAACAGCTAGTTCACCGTATCTAGCCTACAAGCACAAATTGACAAAAAAATTTCTAATTCTTCTTCTTCTTCTTCTTCTTCTTCTTCTTCTTCTTCTTCTACTTGAAGTAGCCCCTACAGAATTTGTATGCTATGGATACTGTGGCGAGGCTGATCATATAAGGTTGTACAATTATTATTTCGCCGGTGTCGTCAAATCAAAGGCGCAAACATGTCAATGTCAGTCTTCAAACTAGTGGTGTTACAGAATTTCACAGACTTTCTCGTAGTAAACTTTTCTTATTTCATTTGTGTGGACTGGCTTTACGGTCTTTTCCCACCCTCTCATCAGCTGCTATCTATCACCACCCAAAATACATTTTTTGAAATTTTCTCAAATTTTTGTTTTCCTAACTGAAAAGAAATATTTACTTTAAGGATATAAAAAAACTTCGTCATAAATGGCAGTTTTTACTGAAAAATCTGAATCAGTATTTAACAAAATGGCGTTCAATCCTAAATGCGAAATTTGAAGGGTTTTTTCATCACAGAAAATGTTCGAGTTGTCGAAAAATTTCATTGAAAGTCATTTGAGGCACTTTAGCTCCCAAGTTCAATAATGTTTAAAAATTGCTGGTAATGTGCGTATTAATGGCGTGAGAGATATTAAAAAAAATATATTTGTGTAATGTTTAAAAAAACAAAAGAATACCCCAAAATGCACTTTATGTAGTTTTAAACAGTGCAATTAGTACTACACGTTGGAAAAGTTTGACGAAAAAATTTGAAGTCATTTTTGTGACAATCTTGTTTTTGTAATTTTTTAACGCCAATATTACGTGAAAATTACTAAAAGTTCCAACAAATTGCATGACCTCATTGAAAGTACTAATTATGGACAACAAATTTCATCTGAAGGAAAAATTACTTTCTTCAATTTTGTAGTTGTAGGAAGTCGCCGAAAAAATCAAAACTTTTGCAATTTTCGAAAATTCAGAGTTCATCGTGAAAATCGGACCTACGCCACCTTTATAAATGTATTTTACTCTATTCTTACAAGAAATTTGAAGAAAAAACTTCAACAATTTTTGAGAAAATATTGAAAATGTCATGTAAAGTACCCTCGAAATTTTGAAGAAATTTTTCAAAATCGCAACGCCTCGAGCCAAGCCAGATCTACTGGAGAAATATCCATTTTGGAAAATACCCTGCGTATGGTTTAGGCGCTAGTGGTGTTCACAGATGGACGGAAGGACGGACGTACAGGTCAGCAGACGTTTTGAAAAAAAAAGAACAATTTTTCGGTATCAGGGGACCACAAAACCGTTGAAATCTCGAAATAGATTTTCCGCAGCATTACGTAACTTTACTCTACGAATATACTCCGTATATATAACGAGAAATCAGAAAGTACAACCTATTTTCAGTCAAAAGGCAAAAACAACCACGTTAAAAGCAACTTCTTTATTTCTCTCTTGCCCAGATCCTAGGACATGACAAAAGAAGAAGTGATTCAACATCTCTTTAGGAACTAGCAGCATTTCAACTCCTTTTCTATTTAGCAGGAAGGGGGAAATCTGTATTGTCATCTTATATGTAACTATTTCATGCGTTTGGGCACTGTCTGAATGCAATAAAAGCTCAAACGCTCAAATAGAGCCTATCAGATGATCCGGCGAGCGCTTCGGTATCTAGAAATGTTCCTAAGTTTGAATGAATGAAAAGATTTACTGGCGCGACTTCTTAAGAATTGCTGCGAATAGTTTGGGGCAGAATACCACACCACATTCAAGAATCTATGTTATTAATTTTCAATGCGCATAGAAATTACAAGAAAACTATGCGGTCTCTAGTCATGTACGAGGTGCCTATGGTTTCGTTAGATATCCAGGAACTCACGAAAAATCAAAACATTACTATTATAACTGAAAAATGCAAATACTTTATTTTATTGTTATACGAAAATACTTTAATCGTTGTTTTTGAGCAATGTCAGAGCTACTTTTTGGAAAAACATTTTATGTGATTCTGTTCTGCAGCAATTTTCCTCTGCAAGGAGGACAATGTCGTTGAAGATATAAATATCATAGGGGGTCGAGAATTCGTTAGCACGAGTGACGTCGGCAACAATCTTGAGAAGGACTCGCCAAGAAATCCAATGTCATAAAAAACAATTTTCAGGATGTTACCTTCCAAGATCTCTGGCCACCTCCAGATCCCGTTGCGAAACAGTAGCCAAGCACAACTGCGACGTCAAGCGGTAACGTATAGCGGCTAAGTGCGAGTTACTTGAGTGATTTTTTTGCTCGTCGTCCCATCAGGCGCCTCCCCTCGGCGTGCGTAATTCCATCCCCTCGCATTATCGCGAGGCGCGGAAGCGAACGTCCAGCGTCGGGGCGTGGGTGGGCGAGCGGACCGCGAGAAAAAACTCAAGGCGAAAGTGTAACGACGGCTCACTTATCGATCAGGTCAAAGCGTTCATGATCGCAAACAGCGAGCGAGCCAATGAGAGAGGGAATGGGAGAGGAAGTGGGAGTGGGAGAGCGACGGAGGGAGGAGTGGGAGAGGGAGAGGGAAAGTGGGAGTCGGCGAGGGTGAGGGTGAGAGCGAGTGGGGGCGGGGGCAAGTAGGAGAGGCGAGGTCGAGGGTGAAGAGCAAGTGGCGCGGGGGGGGGCGATTGGGAAAGCCAGGCGAGGGCGAGTGGGGCAGCGAGTGCGAGTGGGAGCAGGCGGAGGGGCGAGGGGAGCAGGCCGAGTGGCGAAGTGGCAGCAGGCAGGGCGAGTGGAACAGGCGAGTGGGAGCGGAGAGGGCGAGTGGATGGGGCGAAGTAGGCAGCAGGCGAGGGCGAAGTGAACGGGGCGAGTGGGAAGCAGGAGAGGGGCGAGTGGATGGGGCGAAGTGGAAGCAGGTGAGGGGAGTGGGAGGGCGAGTGGAAGCAGGCGAGGGCGAGTGGAGAATCGCCATCATGCGAGCGTACTTCCTGGAGGAGCCTCCATTCGCTCACGCCTCGGTAACCGCCGCCCGTTCCCCGATCCCGCGCGGGTTTCGCGACCCTCCGCTGGACGCGCCCGCCCGCCTCTGAACTGAGATCTCTTCGCCTACCGGCGCAGTCTCCGTCGTTATTGGTCTTCATCTTCAACCGCTCGGATATAATTCGGCCCGTGATGGTCAGCGCCGTTTTCTAGACATAGCAATTGTAGAGGTCGTTTTCAGAGATAACCGATATTATTATCCCTGTTCGATAACGTCAATTCCATCTACACGCTGTCATCCTCACTACATTACTGTCCTTGATATTCTTAAAATCTCTAATCTCTTCCTCCATTGCCTTTACTTTTTGGCATGTTTCATATCCCTGATAGATGACGCGGTAGTCAAGTTGTTCCATCTTATACTTTTGAAATAGTTGTGTGTTCACGTAAACATTCTTTGGGAATAATATTGAATACTGCAGCTTGCCCTTTGGTCAATATTTTGATTATTTAAAAGCGTAATCAAATATGTATCAAGCTTATTTAGGGGATTCCATAGTTTCTCATATTTTTGTTAACAATTACATGTGTATTAATTTGTTCTGTCATATTTAAAAACCCTATATTTTTAGAGCTAATTTAATACAACTTCAGATACAACAATATCGCACACATATTGTGGAGTTGGGAACTTCCTACAGAGCAACACAAACCAATACCCACATACTCGCACTTCAACACAGAGCTTTTCTCTGGTAACGACGTTTCGACGATTGCGTCGCTTATGGACGCGTTTGCTTCTGCGGCGGGGACAGCAAGGGGAAGATTTGAGAGAGAAGAGAGAAATGAAACGTACGAAAAACACGTGGAAACGGAAAAAAGAAACTCGCCCCCGCGTCGCGCCCGCTAAGAACGCGTCCGCCTGCGCCTAAGCGGCCTCCGAAGTGCGGCGCTGTGTGTGCTCGCGGTGTTTATTCAGCGATCCGGAGCTCCTTTCCGTCCCCTTCCGCTTGCCCGTCCGCCGCCTTCGAATCTTGCCTCACGCCGCTCCCCTCCACACTATCCCGCACGCACACATCATAACATACGCACACAAAAAAAACTTACACGCATCCTTGGGGATTCGCTCTCTAAGTCCTCCTAAAATAACTCGCCGCCCGGCGCGACGCGACGCGAGGGGGAGAGTGAACTGACCAGGGAGTTTGCATTTATTTTTCATGTCTGTGTCATTTTTCTTTATTGATCTTCTATGGCAATCCCGTTTTTAATCGTTTTCCTGCCTAGTAAAAAAACGCCTTAGCCGGTTTTTATGTACAGTGGAGATAGCCGTTCGGAAACATCGTCGCGCAGGTCCTGAAGCTCAGGGGCCGGGCTGTATGGAGGCCGTGAGCGGTGGGGGTGGAGAGGGGCCGCGGGAGGGGCCGCGGAGGGGGCGGGTGGGCGGTTTGGGGAAGAAGGACGCGTGCGTTTGGCGGAGGGGCAGGAGAGCTGGCTCGGCTTGGGGAGGGGAGTGTGGCGAGGACCGAGGCAGGCGAAGGCGAAAGAAATAGCAAGAGCGCCTCACTGAGGCCAAGCGTTGAATGGGAAAAGAGTGGCGGCGACGGAACAGAGCGAAGGAGAGACTACAGGGACAAAACGTGGAAGGTTGTGTTGTGTTGCGTGCGAGCGTGTTGAAATGGTGGAAGAGAAGAGTTTTGGAGATAGAATACTGAAGAAAATTAATATGTAGAAGAGTAAATAACACTCCAAAATATATAGGCTAAAAGAGAATGGAGATACTAGAATACGAAATGGAAGGGAAGAGAGCGAGATGTAGAGAAAAAAAAGTGAGACGGGAAGTGAAATGAAAGAGATGCGAGGAGTGAAACTATAGTGAGGCAAAAAGTGAAGAGTGCGAGACGGGGAGAGAAAAGAGCGAGAGGCGAAGAGTGAAAAGAGAGCGAGGCGAGGAGTAAAACGAGAGAGATAAGAGGAGTAAAAACAGAGAGAGGCGAAGAGTGGAAAAGGAGTAAGACGGGAGACGAAAAAAAGCGAAAGAGGCGAAGAGTGAAAAGGGAGAGCGCAAGCGGCCAATGCACGCAAAAGAAGACGTTTGGGACCCTTGAGTTCTTGGGAAAGCGAGACGAGTTTTCCATCCCGAGGAACCTCGGCGAAAGCAGCTCCGCGGCGCGCGAAGAAGGCGCCAAACAAGCTGCGCCGCCGAGGGGGCGGGAGCGTCTCTCCCTGGCGACGCGACGTCGCGGGGCGACCACACCCTCTCCTGGTGACGCGACCCCTCCCCTCCCCTCCCCTACCCCCTGCGGTGCGGCGCCTCAATGGACACAACCCATCGCACCCTCCGCCCCTCTCTCGCACCATTCAAGTGTGCAAAAGCCATTAGGCTCTTCCTTTTCATGGGTCATTTTCCTATATCACGCGGGGGCCTCGTCGCCTCCGCGCGCCTCCGTCTTTCTTCTCCTCTCCTCCCCCTCCCCCTCCCCCTCTTCTCCTCCTCCCTCTCCCTAGCCACCTCCTCCACCGGCCCCCTGCACGCCTGCACAAGCACACACACACACACACACACAAACACACACACACACAAACGAGCGCGCGGGCCGAAGAAAAGCTACATAATATTTGCCGGGCGCCGCGCTCGCGGCTTCTGTGGGGAGAGCGCGCGGCGCGGCTCGTTGCCAGGGGCGCCGCTCGGCGTCGAGGGCTGGGGAAAGGCGAAACTCCGCCGCGACACAGCAGGCGACGCTGCACTGAGAGAAGTGATAACCACCAACCCTGGGGTCAAGGGAAACACTAATTGTTCAAATGGACGCGTATGTCGCAACTTTATGAATCCGGTGTGGCGTGGCTCCCTGACAGTTGCGCCGAACGTTACTCAGCCTGAAAACTGAGAACTTCACGAAATGCAAACAATTTATTCTTGCGATCGGAATAGCGATTGTAGGAGGATTGATGTCGTGTCGTATTGCGAATCCACCAGAGGTACATTTTAACCACTTTCTTTTTCCTTCCTCCTTCTCGGAGGTCCGCAGTGTGATGGTAGTTGGTCAGCAAAAGATGAGACCACCCTTCTCTTTGCAGTAAGGGTTTCAATTTTCAGTCTTGCTCCGTGAAAGGTGTGGTCGCCAATACGCGCGCTCGACAACTTTTCTTAGAATAACTTTCTCTTGACCCCACCGTTCGTGCCTAACATATTCTGGGTAATCTTCCATTTTCAATCAGAAATCTCTCGTAATTACTTAGTTGAACTGCAACACGCAATGAACGGCTACAGGTCATCTTCCGGAAAGGAATCGTATGGTAAATTAACACGAATAGAGAAATTGTGCATTCAAACACGATTGGATCATGTGCAAATATCTGCGCTGGGACACGGGCATTGGCGTGCGCACGGGAAGGGGCGAAGTGACCATGGGCCCCTGACAATCGTGAAAGGAGCGCCATAATCCTTTGTGATAAACCTTTTATTTTCGTATACATGATTCTTGTTTATTTTCTCCTTTTCTTAAGCGTATAATTTTAGTAATTTATACACAACATTTGCGGAAGTGGCTTTCCAAAACAAATGGCAACCCTGTAATTAAAGTAAATAAAATTAATTGTGTTAATTGCTAATTACATCATTAATGTTATAATTGCATTCTCTAGGTGGTACGTTGTATTTATTTCCGAGTAAAATATGTATGAAAATAAAAATAATAAGGAAAAGAGGGAATGTGAGAAACCAATAAATGTGTTTTACCCCCTCTCTTGTTTTATGCTGCTCACACCTATAGATACGGGTCGAAATGCAAGTAGTATGGGATGCGCGAGTCGCAATAGTCCGTGATGCAACATTGGATAGGAAAGAACAGATGAAGTACCCTTTATTCATGTCATGTGAATCACTATATGACAAAAGTTCGTAATGTCATCTTAACCTCCTTCTGAACAATAGATTACACTTTCTTATCTTTTCGTATTGCGCGTTTCAGTAGATCTATTTCCGGGAGAGATGTAATATTTGACCAATTTTTCACGCAGTCTGTGTATTTTAAGTACACGCCAAGTATTAGATGGAAATTCATGAAGCAAAATGTATTGTAGAATAATAACTTCCGGCCGTATTCGAACTCCCACATTGCTTACATTACTGGTACTGTTACCAAGAAAAATGTTTAACGACTAATTCGGGAGCATCACCGTCATCAAAACATGACACGCCTATCCACCACCACCACCACCACCACCACCACCAACAACAACAACAACAACAACAACAACAACAACAGCAACAACCAATACAACAACACATTATCACCATCCCAGTACCACCATTCCGAAACAAGAAAAATTAACAACCACACCATGACTGCACGTCACCATCAAAATTACCATCATCGTCAAGATATTAATACTTTAACTACCCATAAGTATATAATATATATGCTACTAACAAAACTATCAGCATTGTATCCATTGCCACCACTGTTACAATTACCAAATAACAAAACTATAACTATAATATGAAAATAAATGCTGTTAAACTTATGACAGTCGTAATCATCCAATAGAAATCAGCAACTGTACTTCATAAATCTCATTAATAAACAATAACGAAAAACGTATTTCGTTTCTACAATTTCGTCTATTCGCTCGGAGACTCGTGTACCATGCTCTTTCAGGTTTGATATGCCACAGTATATTTTTTTATATTTTCGCACCCATCGATCTATACGGAACGCGCATTTGGCATCCTTATCACGAATTATTACGTAAAGACGATCACACCAACAGCACCCAATACATTTATGAAACCTTAGTTGACATCAACACTATCCCCGTTGCAATATCTGCCACAAACTCTGTCATGAAATATTGTTTTTTTACTATTAATTTATTAAATTACAATCTTCAGTACACACGCTACGTTACACATAGGAGAGAAATTCAAATCCGCGCAAGTTTTCTTGAGCTGCACAATAGAATGAATATTGATTACGTAAACACGGGAATTAACTGTAACGGTAAAATTACATTTACGAGGGTAAGTCAATAACAATCTGCACTCAAGGTTTATAACTGTTTACAAGAGTACAAAGTTTACTACGAGGCCATTTTTTCAAGATATATTCACCATGCTTTTCAATGGACTTAGCCCATCACAGAACCCACATTCCGACACCCTCATAAAAAAAGGTTTTTTTTGATTAAGCAGTAAGCCATGTATGCACTCCACCACCTGTAGAAGGGAGGCAAATCTTGCGCAGAAAGTGGTCGAAGGATTTTAGCTTTTGGTATACATTCAGATACACAGAATGGACTATGAAAACCTGTTCTTAATTGTGCAATCGAAGAGTGGTGCAGCCATTTTACGTGGCAACAACGCAAGTGAACTCAACATGATTAGGCTGAAAAATACCATAAGTAAAGTAAACGGTGTCATCTAAGGGTGGTAAATGAAAAAAGTTGTAAAATCAACATTCAGCTGATCACAATAAAAGTGCATACACTTATTGACTTACCCTATATCACTGACTATTAATGACTTGGATTGCTACCCCGTCGATACCTACATGGGCAACATGACAAAGAAAAAAAACTATATCGAATTTTACACATTTTATTCAAAATGGAGGTGCAGATCTTCTCCCCCATTGGTCACATACAGTTTTTACTGTTGAAGATATTGTTAAGGATTTTTAAATGTTTTCTATTAGTCTTTTTCGTAAGTAGGCAACGCAAAATACAACGCATTAGCATGACATTATGCGAGGATGACATTAGCATAAGTTCGAATACCGTTAAAATGACATTCCATTAAATTATGTCAAAATAATTTTTACGTAATTATTCAAAATAGTAATGAATTACGGAATTACGGATTCAAATTCGTTGAAAAAAAATTGTTTCAAACTCGGGCTAAAACACTCAGTATTGTTTCCCTGGTCACTTGCATCATTAAAGTATATATAACTGTCAATAGACATAAATATGATTTGGTCATAAACACGGCTGATCACTCTTGAAGCACTTGGCTCTCTTGACTAGGCATTACGGTCTCACAATCAACAATGCTGAAATCGTTGACGAAACCATGCTCACAGGCGACAGCGTTGTAAACAAAGCGCGGAGATCTTCATCGGAGCGACATGCAAGCTCAAGCACCGATCCTCTCCGTACGCCAGTCTCAACTACCCTGCCCGACATCACCATCACCGCCGCCATTACCGCCGCCGGCAAGCTGACGCATTAGTGGCGCCACCGCCCGCCCTCCCGCCAGCTGCTTGCGCGCGCCCACTAACGAAGGCGATCGTAAACCCACGCTGGCGGCGGGAGCAGGGAGCAAGGGACAGTTACCAACGAAAGAAGAACGACGGCAGAAGAGGCCGAGGAAAGGAAGGGTGGGGAGGGAAGAACGGAACGGAACGGAACGGGCCAGGACAGGACAGGGCGGTGTAGGACCTAGAAGGGCGGGGCGGGACGGGACAACACAGAAGAGAGCAGGGCAGGGCAGGTCGGTGGCCGAGCAGACGCCGTAAGAGGGAGAGGAGAACGAGAGCAAGGAGAAAGGGGGCCCAGCGGAGGAGGAGGTGGTGCGGGGCAGCGCGGGCGGTGCCTTGAGCGCCCCCGAGGGAGGTGGCGCCGAGGGGGAGGTGCGCGCCGGCGGTGGCGTCGTGGGCGACAGCGGGCGACGGCGGGCGAGGGGCGACGGAGGCCAAGTCGCGGGGAGAGATTTCATTTACGCGACGACCAGACCACACCGCATCGCATCGCATCGCATCGCATCGCATCGCATCGCACCGCACCACAGGAGCCGCAGCTCATACGAGGTGGAGGAGGGGCTGGAGGACGGAGGTCCCGGTATTACCGTCTACATCATGCAGTGGCATTAAATAGAGACTATTGCACTCGTGAAATTAAAACCAGGTGTTTAACTATGCATAAAAATGACCCCGCCAGGTCGGTGTATCTCAAAACGTTTATCGCTTTTTCTATTCCATTTTTCTTACAGCTTCTCCTTACTGGCCAATCAAACTGTGATTCATCTTCCTTCGGAGGCGGTACATATCGAACGCTATGTCATTGTCGAATAAACAGCGTGTGTGTTATAACATAACCTCTTTGATTTTAACGTAGCTTTCAGTTATTTTCAATATTTGGCGCATGTTGATACTCTGTGGGATATAATTTCTCTCGTGGAATAGTCCTATTACGGTGCTTTAGAAATTCTCAGATAAACCCCCTTCTCGTTTTGCCTGTCGGGAATTTATCGACAATTGCCAATGCACTCGTGGTATTACCTATGATAAAATCAATAACAGGAATTACCCAATTTTAAAATACGTAGAAATAATTACCGTGATAATACTAATAACGTTATTATTATCATTAATAATAATAATAATAATAATAATAATAATAATAATAATAATAATAATAATAATAAATTATGCCTGGCGACGCCCCCGACGCCCCGCGACGCACCTCGACGCACAGCGACGCAACGCCACTCAAGGCGTCGCAACGCCACTCAAGGCGACGCAAACAAAGCCGATACCAGATGCGTCCATTTCTGTGCGCAGCCGTGCGCTTGCGATGCATCTGGCGGGTGGACGGGCGGCCAGGGGGTGAGCGCGCCTACTACTTCCAAGGAGTTCGCGATCATCTGTACGTGGAAGAGTGGCGAGCGGCGGCGCGGGGCGGCGCAAACCGGACGCGGGCGTCGATCGGCGCGCCACGCGAGGGCAATCCGTCAAGCGAAGGGCGG